AGTAGTATTTATAAAGTTTTAGCTTTTAGTTTTGGATCTGTTTTTAGTTGTTTTAATACTACAATTGATTGCTTCTGTTGTCCTCATTTGTAAGTCGCTTTGGATAAAAGCGTCTGCTAAATGACTAAATAAATAAATAAAAATAAATAAAATGACTGATTATAATGACTTATACTGTGTTTTTATGCTTTGCGTTGCGCATTGTGCCGCCTAAACATAAAACCATGTCTGTATGTGTGATCGGAGAAATGACAAACAACAAGTGCTACTCTACACTGCCCAAAAAACTCGCTTTAAATATAAAAAACATACTTACAGTCTATGAGTCAGAAGCGCCAGACTGTCCTTGCAAAGTTGGAACTGCCCCACTTTATAGAAACATTATGTCCTCTTTTGGAAGACCAAACTAAGTAGTTTCACTTTCACAACGAAACACACAGCGGCTTGAGTGAACAGCACCCGGTGGATTCGATGAAGGAGGCTTGCGGCAACCACATGTGACGACCCGGGGCTGGACTCCGCTTCGTCCCCGGTGAAAGCCGGTCCGGCGATCGACAGCGCGAAGTTGATGTATTTCCTCAGCGACCAGCACGGATCAGCTCCAGGCATGACGAAGCGGATATCGTCCTCTTTTGGAAGACCAAACTAAGTAGTTTCACTTTCACAACGAAACATGCAGCGCCTTCACGACATGGCGGCGGCAGCAACAATATTACAGCGAGAATAAAAGTTACGCCTTCTTTCTTTGCATGAACGTTTGGGCGGTGTTATGCAAATCTTCAGACACAGTGACGTAGACATGTGGGGGGGGGGTGTTTAAACGAGGCGTTTTAGGAGGGCATGGACAAGTCTTAACTTTTATAAAGAATATCTCTTTGGATTTGAGACTTTAGTCTTTGCAACTTTACAGATCTTTATGCACCAAGAGCTTGTAACACTCCAAAGAGAAAGGAAAAATTTTAATCGCATCATATGACCCCTTTAAACAAATCTTCCGACACAGTGACGTAGACATGTGGGGGGGGTGTTTAAAAGAGGCGTTTTAGGAGGGCATGGACAAGTCTTAACTTTTATAAAGATTATCTCTTTGGATTTGAGACTTTAGTCTTTGCAACTTTACAGATCTTTATGCACCAAGAGCTTGTAACACTCCAAAGAGAAAGGAAAAATTTAAATCGCATCATATGACCCCTTTAAATTCATAAGGCCTGTGATTACAAAATTATTAAAGTGGGCATTTTGTGATGCTCCCGGTTGTCCTCATCTGACGACGGACATGGTTTAGCTTACTTGAAGTCACTGTGTGTGTTGTTTTTGTAGGGGATCTCCATGAAACCACTGGTTCAATGGCTTAAGGTTAAAAAGGCAACTCAGTCAGATCTGACACTCAATGGAAAAATGAACAACAGGGTAACCATCACTCACGACACATAGTGTACCCCTCTACTGCATCTTTTATTTTAGTTTTCTGTTTTCATAACAATGACTTTGGTTTTCAAAACGTGTTTATTATTACAAAAGCTACATTATAAAATCAAGTAGGCCTAATAATGATATACAGTAATATTAAATAAAATGACCTTTCTCCACTGCTGTACTGTCAAGACAAAAAATGTATGAGTAATGTTACCTATCTCCAAGCGATAAACAAGCATTTCCATTACAAATAGGCCTATACAAAGTTTCTCTCTTAAAAACTTTCAAAATGCATTTTGTGGCCAGCTTGACATAGTCTATTAATGGAGTGTTATCACCTAACCTCAATATGTCTTTGTGAGCTGCTTTTCTTTCGGCCTGTAGAGTAAACATTTAGATGATTATTTGCTTATTTCCGTTAATCTCATTGCATTACAGCGCTTGGGTGAGGTAGGTGAGTAATAAAACTAGACAGTAATGGCTGAACATATGAGTGTGCTGTTTGGACCGATAAACCGCACAACCGAATCAGTTGAACGAGTGAGTCTTTTACGCTGGAACCCCTCGATTCAAATTCAAACTTGCAGTAGCTATAACTTGCGTTGCGACGTCGATGATTCACACCGGTTCAACCGATTCAAATATCATCGCTTGTTCTGCGTCTGATTTTAAATAGCCGTAAAATGTAAAATGTAAGTATGTATTTAAATGAGCTGAAATGTTGTCAAGAAAAAAATTGCTCTTGCGTTTTGCAACGATACCCCGCAAACGTATAAAACAAAACAACTTTGCTCCTGTAAATCTACATAATTTAAAAATATTGACGCAGCTCAATAGGCCAACTAAGAAATTATGTAGATAGGTAAATTCGCTACTGCTGGCTTATTATGGATAGAGTTTCTACACTGCAAATATGATTTGGTCTATGCACAGTGCACAACATCTAAGTAGGCCTAGAGGTAATTTTAAACATCAAAACGTGAAGTAAAGGGTGATATAATTGTGTATGTCTTTATAGGCTTTTGAACACATACTGACAGCAATGGAGGACATCTGTGGCCGAATGGGAGATAATTGGTGGACCAGACAGTGAGCATTTCACTTTTCACAAACATACAGGTATAAAATTTGTTTGAGAATTTTTACTAATTTTTTCCCCCTCTTTCTTAGTTGGAAGCATTTTGACGAGAAGTATGTCTGTTGGCTACTAATGAAGAGCGATGCCAGAGAGCACAATGACCCAATCTTTGGTGCCTTCCACAAACTCAATCTGGAGGATGCCTCTAAATACATCACTGAAGTGAGAGCAAAACTGCTGATTCAACATAGTATCACCAGTTTCTATTTCCAGTTTTCTGTACTGTTCTATTGACATATCATCTACTGTCTATAGAGAATAATCTGAAGAATTAATGTGCTCAATTTTATTATTATTATTTTTTTCACATTTAGGGTGAACGCAAAGGTTCTCTGGCTTTCATTCGTAATTATGACAGTGCCTCTGTCGACTTCAAGAAGAAGCTTGCTTTAGAGTATGCAGACATCATGCCTAATATTATGGCTGACATATCAGAATATGATTTTGGCATTGACAATGTTCCAGTCAACTCTGTCATGTAAGTAGTTTGTCAAATGTATTTTAATTTTCCCAACTGAATGCAGTTTCTCTTTGTAAAGTGAAGTATAAATGTTTTATGAGGTTTTGAGTAAAGAGAAAAATGAGAAAATTGCACAAATAACTAGATGGCTCAAATGTGTTGTGATAAATACATGTTGACAACAATTATTTGGTCTTCTTTCTATCTAGGAAGAACACTATTCCATCTGTATCCCTGGATATCCATGAGCAAGACAGGAACAGGAGCATGCCTAATGACCTCAGTGCCCATCATATACTAGATCAGCACCTGTACAAGAGCAGAAGAGATGTAAGAACTGTCCTGATCACTCAAACCACAATTTTTTTTAAAATTTTTTTACAGGGAATATTGTTTCTTTATCAATATTTGGATGTCTTATCACAATACATCTGCCCAGTGGAAAATCTCATCACAATGCCATTCCATCCAAACCAATCCATTTCTCCTGTGTTTGACCAGAACCATGCCACTTACAGCCGCAGTCACTATAACACCTCAGAGAATCCAGATGAAATGCAGGAGATCTTTCAAAGAACCATGAGAAGCCGCCTTGAGTCCTTCAAATCGGCTAAGATGGGTGTTAACCCTGCGAAAAAACTCTCCAAACATCCCAAGAAGGATTCAACACACAAGGTATTAGACCTTCATGTCCTGCTGTCTACATTTAGCAAAAAAAATCTTTTGAAATAGGGTTCAAAGCAGTGGCGTAGCAAGTCAGTCCCAGGCCCATCTGCAAAAACATTTGTACCACACTTGCCACCCAATAATCGCAATAGCTTGTGAAAAGTCAGAGCAGTCGAAACATAACATTTACCTCAGAAATGACAAATATAACATTGCCAACATTGATTTATTATTTTCATAAATCAGTCAGTTAACCGCCACAGACCTTTTTTTTATATGGAATATTATGACACTAAAACACCTCCATATTTTCTAAATTACTTAATGCAAACACACTCTTGGCACAGCGGCCCAAAATGCTTGAAAGAAAGAAAGAAAAAGAAAACTACTTACTTGTTTTAGTTGCAATTAATTTAATTTAATTCTTCATGTATTTTTCGTGTATCTTTAATTCTCTCAGTGTAAAGAATGGCTAATTTTATACAATATTTGTATTTCTATTGTGTATTTTTAGCCTAATGGTAAGCCAGCGGACCCACACAGAACCCATCCATTTGGAGATGAAGGTATACTTTTATATGCTTATTTAAGTACTGGAAGTATCATTTTAGCATGTATATAAATGTTATTTTGCTTTGTCCATTCAGATTTTGAGTTTTCAGCTGACAGCGCATCTAGCAGTGAAATTGCTGGTCATTTTCCCAGGAGAAGCACAAATGCACCTGGTGGTAAGCGTTTTAGTTGCAATTAATTTAATTTAATTCTTCATGTATTTTTCGTGTATCTTTAATGCTCTCAGTGTAAAGAATGGCTAATTTTATACAATATTTGTATTTCTATTGTGTATTTTTAGCCTAATGGTAAGCCAGCGGACCCACACAGAACCCATCCATTTGGAGATGAAGGTATATTTTTATATGCTTATTTAAGTACTGGAAGTATCATTTTAGCATGTATATAAATGTTATTTTGCTTTGTCCATTCAGATTTTGAGTTTTCAGCTGACAGCGCATCTAGCAGTGAAATTGCTGGTCATTTTCCCAGGAGAAGCACAAATGCACCTGGTGGTAAGAATCAAGCTACATACTGAATTCATGTGACATATTAATGTCATGTTGTACATTTGGATCCTTTTCACATTTCTGAGGTTTTATAAAGCGGAAATAGTGAGTGATGAATGGAAACAAATTTAATTTGACATTCCCATTTGTTCCAATAGCAAAATTAAATTTCTATGACTTTACAAAAGAGGAGACTGATTGCATTAGTTGGAAGATTCCTAGAAACAGTCACGCAGAAGTGTTAACTCGTTTTCTGTTACACAAGTATACTGTTGTAAATGTACATAAAAAAAAGAAGAAAATATTAAAAACTTTGCTACATTTGCAGTGTTAATATCTGTGGAAAAGTGCCATCACAGTCTGTGAAAAGGATCCATGTGCAAGTGTGTAGAAAATATATGCATTATTTTATGGTTGTTTCCATGGTGTCTCAGTTCAGTATCATAATTACTCTAATTACTGCAGCTGGTGTTGATAATCCAGCGTTCATACCCGAGATGGACACCTCTCCACCCATGCGGAACCCACCCTGGCAAACAGAGACAGCAAACAACACGGCTGTGGCAGCTTCCCAGAGAGCTCAGGGTCGACTGCCCTGGACGCCCACCAACCTGAGACGTCTAGCGCCGCTGAGAATGAGCACACACTCCACAGACTCCTTTGCAATGGCTGATGCTTCAGTTGACGACGAGGTGCCTGAGGAAAAGCCCGGAACACATCATACTAAATTGTAATCTGATATCGTTCCAGCAATAACCTGCCAAACTTGCGATTAGGTTAATCCTCTGCATTTCATTTTAGGCAGTTATGATGTCATGAGGCCAGAGATTAAGGAATCATAGTGTCGAATCGTAGTATTCATCATATATCTTTAAAAATGTATATACACATGCAGCAGTTACTTGAAGTCACATTGCTATATATACATGCATACATATAAGCAAAGGGAAGAAAATAAATACAAATTTAGAAGAGACACTGTCATTGAAGTACTTATGTATAAGGTTATGGAATGCTCTTGAGGGTTTCTTTATAAATCCACATTGTTGTGGAAGCTGTTATGGCACTTTACCACACTGACAGCATGCTAGAAAATAGAAAACATTGAGCTCAAAAGACAAAATCATTATACTCAAATATATTTTGTCTGAGTTAAGAACTGAGAAGCAATTGTCTATCGGTTCTATATTCAGGTACGTTCTTGACCTATCTTGATATTTTTTGACCTTGGACATGTCTGTCTATACACATTTTTAAAATCAGCATGTTGTATATGATTATTTATTATTTCATGGTCATTCTGTGGGTGCTTTTTTGTAGTATCACAATATCTGTTTCTGCATTTCTGTAATCGACAATGATTCACTTTTGAGTTTTACTCAAAGCTATTAATGTTTTATTAGTCAATTGAAGTCATTCAAATGTAAGTCATTAAAAATCATAGTTTAACAGTAACTTATTCATGTGTGAATTTTATGCTTTATGAGAACTGGTGAAATCTAACTTGAAATCAGTGGATAGTGTCTGAAAAAACATATTATTTGAACCGTAACTCAAAAGTTTGAGACGAGTAATACAATTTAAATGGTTACTAATGAGCAAATAAAAAAAAATGCAAAGAGCACAAGAAACAATGATTATTAATCCTTTCAATTTTAAGCTGATTTGAATTCTATAAACATTATATTCCTCTTATAGGAATACATTCTGATATGACTGACATCAAAAGATATCCATTGCGGTAAAGGAAACAAATGCATAGCCTTTAAGTTAAAAATGTTTGAGTAAATGTTCAATGAAGCATTTTTGAAACAAGAAAGTGCAATTCATTATTATGTGTACATTTTAGTAAGCAAGTTGTGTAAATCATTACACAGACAAAATTGTTAAAATCAGAGCAGGATTTGAACAAACGCACAAAACATCCTTAAAACAGAACAATTTTCTATAAACCCCGGACTTATTAACACACAACACAGCATGACATAAAGCAACGCATAACCTATAAGCAACACACTTTACTCAGAGTTATTGTGTCAATAAACTTTGTAGATTTATTTATTTGTGAAAAAGTAATAATACCTTTTTGGGGGGTTAAATTGCTAAACAGTAAACTCTCAAGGGGAAGTTGTGTTGTTTTGCCTTTAGGCTTTCCACTTATTTTTCAGTTCAGTAGGCAGTACAGCTGTCATCTCTGGATCTATGATTAAAGCCGGCACACACACACATGGTACAAGCCATACCGTTCACTTCCTTTTTTTACGTCACACTCAGACAGGGCCAAGTAAAGTAACAGTTTAACTCCAATGTGTGGAAACTTTGTTTTTTAACTGGTGTATACTAAAGCCATCAGAACTCAGCAGTAGGATTTCACAAAACAGGAAGGTTAACACGCTTATAAAAACACTAAATAAAGAGAAAAAAAGAAGAAAAGAAAATAACCCTCATGTTAACCCAAACCCATTTGACTTTTCTTCTGTCTAACATAAAAGGAGGTGTTTAGTAGATTGTCCAAGCTGCTCTTTTCCAAACAAAATAAGTGGATGGTGACCAAGAATTAAGAAAGAAAGTCAGGTCAGATTTTGGGGTGAACAATCTCTTACACAATCTCGTAAAATCTATATGCACTCAACATCTTCTAATACTGTTACAGGTCTATGTGTTTTTCAGTAGAAAGTCTCACAATACAATATACAATAAACATGGTGTAGTGTCTGGACAGAATATTTGTACCAAAATTGGTCCGGAAAGTCTTCAAAGTAACAATGCAACAGTACAGCCTGTTAAAGTTGGCTGAACACTAACCAGCGTGAAGTGCAAAGGAAAATTTTTAAACGGAAGCAGAAAGAGTAATCATCATAAACGTGACAAAGTAACAACAGTCCAGTGACGTAGATCTCAGCCCCCTTTTTGTGTAACAAATTAAAGGCTGACTAGAAGTTTCAGCACTGCACTTATTACACTCTTATACTACCCTGATTGAACCACTGCTCTCACCTGAGCCACAAACACAGAGGGTCAACTGATGGAAAGACAGTCAAGTCACTTAAAGAGGGATGAACTTTGAAAATGACCACAGATTTAAAGGACAACTAACTAAAAGTGGAAACTGCAATACTTTATCTCACCAAGGACTTTAGGACAAGCTAGCAGAACAAAGCACACTGGGAACCTCTAATGGACTATTGTGCGCTTCTGTGAAGGACAGCTATAGTACACACAGACTGGAGATAAGAATGATACTATAAGTGCATCTTTACCACTCATCTGTTGCAATGGCAAGCTCTGTTTATCTCTGCCTGCTGAGAGCAGTTTTCCTGGTGTGTTTTGTTAACCCTTTAATCAAAGGACTAAGTGGAGATGCAAACGTGGTCCAGAATCCTCATCACGAACTGGAAGAGAATCTCACTGGACTCCCAATTGTCACATTTAAATGGCATCATGTTCAGACCCCATACCTGGTGATAATTTGGGTATTTGTGGCTGGATTGGCGAAACTATCAGGTATGTAGCTTGAACTATGAAGTAAAAATTGATTGGCAGTTAACAAATAAGGAATTAAGTTTGTTGTTTAACATATTCAAAGACTTGTGTACAATATAATGCAGTTTAAGACATCAGTGGTATTCCTCATGAATGAATTTAAAGGTGACATATCGTAAAAATCTGAATTTTTCCCAGGTTTTAGGTGCTATAATCAGGTCCCCGGTTGCATCTATCAACCAAGGAAACGTGAAAAAGATTGAACCTAGTAACTTTGTTTTGGGAAGCCTTTTTCTGCAAGTGTCTGAGAAAACAAGCGAGTCAGATTTCGTTCCCTTGGTGACGTGGCAAAGGGATCTCATTATAATATTACCGCCCCTTAATCTGTAAATTTCCACCCACGGTGCCATCATTTTGATTTCACAAGCTACAGCGGCGTACCAGCTCTAATGCCATGGCTAAAGTTTGAGCAAAACATGCCAACTGTTCTGTCTTTGGCTGCACAGACGAGCACAGAACAATATTTAGAGTCCCAACCTCAGAGGAGACAAGAGAGCAGTGGATTTATTGATTTATTTAGTCTACTGTATATTGCTGCTGCCACAAAGATCACAAATAAACATGTGAATTATTTCCCAGCTGTTTACCTTCACAGACATAACCGTTTTTTGTAACTTGTGTGTTTATTTTAGATCTTTTATAACATAAACTTGTGTGTGAATGAGAACTTAGTTTAGTACTCACATGCTGTGACAGCAGCTTGCTGTCCGTGTGCTTTCTATCCTGTAATGGTACAGCTTTATTCTGGAAAAGGGGGCAGGGAGCAGCAGTTAATTTGCATTTAAAGAGACAGGCCTGAAAAACAGCATTGTTTCTGCTTCCACTCAAAATAGGCATTTTCAAAATGTGTGGAGTATTTTGAGCTGAAACTTCACAGACACATTCTGGAAACACCAGAGACTTATATTACATCTTGTAAAAAGGGGCATAATATGTCTCCTTTAAAATTTGATCTGAAGTTGATGTCATTTTTGAATGAAATGCTGAATTACAGTTCAGTTCAGTTCTGAGAAGGAAGAAGATCTCTTTATAATTACTTTGAGTTAGGAAGTTTAATAACAACGCTGCATGTGTAACAAATTAAAATTGAGTACAATAGCTGTGGAAGCTCAAAGAATCACATAAAATAATGATAAACATATTGCTACTCAGGTAAAGGGATGATAATGTAGCACAAGTCCTGTGATTAACATGGTTAGTATTTGTATTCTTATCCAGCTTCCTTTATCAGTATAGAGAGATCAGTATCTGTTCTTTCCTCAAGTGTTGTTAATGTTTGGGATGATTTAAAAAATACATGTTTTCTGGTTTCATCAGTTTGATGTTAAGTACAGTACGGATGCTTCTATAAGAAAGAGGATGAAAACTAGTAAAATAATATGTGCTGTTGTTATTACTAAACGTTAAAAGTAAAAAAAAGAGAGTAATTTTAACAGCTAACAGCTTTCAAGTACTTGATCCAGTATGATAATCATAAAAGAATCCTGTTAGTTTTACATTTCACTACTGATGCATTTAAAAAAAAAAAATCAGAAAATCTACTTGCACTATAACTTTGGTGCACATCATCAGGCAAATGCATGAATGTAAACGTAAATGTATAACTGCTATGTCTTTTTAAAATGCATAACCATTTTGCATCATTTTTGGGCATTGCTCATGACAGTTACATCTTGTGAATATAAGATTTAAAGTTTACAAAACATACTTCTGAGAAGATGCCCCAAATGACATCAAATACCAATCTTAGGGAGCGCCAATGTTAAAACAATCATTAACTTTAATATGCATCATATTAACCTTATCCACAACTTGAATATTATTGGCTACAAAAGTTGCGATCTGTTTTCTCTCTGTCTCTCCCTCTCTATCCAGTGATTGAACTAAACCATCATGTCACCAGTGTGATCCCAGAGAGTGGTCTGCTCATCATCCTGGGCTTTATTTTGGGAGGAATCGTCTGGGGAGCAGACAAGGCGCAGACTTTCAAACTGCTTCCTCCCACGTTCTTCTACTACTTGTTGCCCCAGATCATCTTGGATGCCAGTTACTTTATGCCCAACAAGCTATTTTTCAGCAACCTGGGTGCCATTCTCATTTACGCCATCTTCGGAACGTGCTGGAACGCAGCTACAGTGGGCCTCTCGCTCTGGGGCTGCTATGAGGCTGGAGCGATGGGTACATTTATTTATAATAAAAACCTTTATTTTTAAGAATGTAGAGGATACCTAATTAATTAGCCAGTTTCTATAATCATCAGGTAACTTGGACATCGGTCTCCTGCAG